ATCTGGAGGAGGAGGACTTCACGTCTCGTGAAGAACGCTAAGCGCTGCAGAGCCTAACGGACCCAGCATGTACCTTAAGAAGGCTATAGGGGTCTGATCAACCTCTGGCCTCTCCCCATCGCCGAGCATGATCCCTCGACGAACCCTTTCCCTGCGCGCAAGTTCCACGAAGCCTAGCAAACTTCATGTGAGTGTATCCAGAGCTCTTCTCCAAGATGTTTTCTTTGGTTGACACGACGGGCTCACGGTTTTAGAGCCTTCAGCCGGATTGGGCTACAGTTCACGAGATTACAACTCTTCTCCGCTTTTCTTTCCTATCTGTAACTGCAACTCAAGCAAGTTTTCCTGCCTGCACCGCGAGCATCTATGGTGTAAGTAAAATAATCTTTAATCAACCGCTACGCGTCCGTGCCTAATTCTAGTCCGCCGGCCTGCATTCCCCGACCTGCATGCCAGGGCTGCTGGCCACAGCCTGCCGTGCGCCCCCGAGGGCCTCGGACCGCTCCCGGCCTGCACACCTTGTTTCACTTCCACCTTGTGTGTTGTGTCCTTTACAGAACAGAGTTGGTGTTCTTCTAGGGTCTGATAGAAGGGCTGTGTGACTTACTATCCCATATAAGTAGGATTAATTATTCCACTAATTAATTATTCCCTTAACACTGCCTTGAGCAGGGAGTTGTGTTAGATGACTACCTGAGGTACCTTCCAGCCCTATTTTTCTATTATTCTTTGTTTATCTCTGTGTAGTAAATATATAGGGTTGCCAACTCTGGCTGAAGCTATTCCGGGAGTTTTGTTTCCCACCCCCCACCCCAACAACATAATGTTACTAATGCATCAATAGAGATTTTTTGGGCTGATACCAATGGCCAATTTTTAATGAGCCATATTGGCCAATACTGATCCAATTGCCGATATGGAGCGCTGCAGCATGGAGAGCAGTATCTGGCTGATAAGTCTGTTGTGGGGGAAGGGCAAGGGAAGAGGGAAGGGGTGTGGGGAGGGCAGATCGAGGTCCCT